ACAAATTGCACCATCGAGCGCAATACTTCTCTTCACTTTTTTTATGACTGACTGTGAGTGGACACATTGATCGATTGCAGACAGTGTGATGGTCTCTGTGTTTGGTTGGACTTCAAATAAGTCTTCTGGAATAAAAGAGTTGACCCATTCATCAAAACTCTTTTTTTGTATTGAATCACTTGGCTTTGTTTTTGTGGAATGGATCGACTTGCATGAATAGATGTGAAGCATCTCTACCGAATCGTAACACTTCTTGTTGACCAATTTAAAGCGTTTGACATCTGAGAAGCTTTTGAAATATAGAACAACATTTGCAAGATACACTCGCTCAAGACGTGACATGTGTTTGTCAGTTTGATTGTTTTGTCATATATTCTCTTTTCTTGCCAGCATTGATCGTTTCCGTCAACTTCGTTAGGGAAAAAATGAATTGCCAGAGATTGTGATTCTTTCTTCGTCTTTAACTTTCACAATTTTCAATTTGTTGTGATTATTCAAAAATAATCTTTTCATCATTTTTTTTGATTATTATTCAACATGTTCGCTTTGTACTTTAAGGAGAAAATTGTATTAATATTTTTTAATAAAATAATGATTCTCCTTTGGTTTGTTTAGTTTGTGTTTTTTATTTACTTGAACAATTGGAATAGTTTTGAAATCCTCTGATTAACAAAAGTTACTAATGACGTCTTAAAAAAATGATTGTTTGAAAGACTCCAAGTCATTTGGGATAAATAATAAATACTAATACTATATTGTAATTATAATATAATTATAATATTTTACTTTCAACGTGAATCAACAAAACACAAAACGAATAAACACATATTATCAGATACAAACACCTTCTTTCCACAAACAACCATTCCCTATACAATCATCTTTTTCAATTCTTCCAGAACAAGCTGCTTATAAGTACTCATTAAACATTAACAATCGATTCAAACAAACTTTGAAACTTCACATCCCCACAATAGAACTTCACATAGTCGACACACTTCAGATACACCGAGACAGTCGATGTCGGAAAATTGCTCGACGTTGTCCCCTCGAGAAATGGTTCAGACTCGTCCGAGTTTGTCACCCCATAAAACCCGTCCGGGAGTGCTTCGTTAAATTCAAATGAACTCGACCAGCAGTTCCATGGCAATTCGTTGACAACAAGCCGTTGCGACTTCTCATTGAGTTGAACCTTCAAGAGTGTTTCTCCTTGGTTATGGTGTATCGAGCACCTAAAGTCGGGTTGTATGATAAAAAGTACTCCAACAACCACACAAACAACAACAAAAAACAGCACCAGTACGGTGAAGATCACACAAAATGACATTTGGAATCGTTTGTTCAGCACAAGTCCAATAAATCCTATCGCAAGAAACACTGAGACAATTACTATAGTCAGTGCAATGATAGAATTACCCATGATCACACTCATCCCTAATGCTAAAATCCCAAGAAATAGAAAGATGTAGTTCGATACCCAATTCTCCTGTTCCCAATACAACACTACCTCTCGACTTTTAATCGTTTGCGTCAATTCATTCCGTTTCCGCCAACAACTCGCCCACATCAATATCGTAACAGTCCACGTATACACCCACATCCCTGGCAGTTTTGGAAGTGCAAAAGCAACATATATCGATATCATGGTCAGTATCACCGCAAACACCAGCGTCACTATTGCTGGCCCCATAGAAAAGTTGTACTGCAACAAACTCTCAGCTTCTTGGAGTTGGTCAAATTTCTTGATTTCGTCATACACGTTGGTGATCGTTTCCATCGCCTCGTCGGTCGCCTTTGTCAATTCCTCAATTTTTGAAACGTTATCGATTTTACTTGCAGAGATTGCCGTGTGGATCTCTTTCAACGACTCCACTAAAAGTGGGACCATTCCAATGACATCAACAGAAAGGCCGTCTTCATCTTCGTGGACCAACTCAGGGAAGATCTCTTTCACTTCTTGAGCTATAAACCCCATATTAACATTGTTTGATCCAATGTATTTGTACGACTTTCCAGTTAATTGCAAAACCTTTTCTAATGACTTTTGGAGGGGAACAATATGCTCCTTGACACGCGCATCCGATCGCTGCAAAAACCCGTTCTCCGCAAAGATCTGTCCTGCAACTCTGAGCCGCTTTAAATCCGCAGAAAGTTGAATGACCGATATAAAGTCGTTGTACTGCAGCAAACTCTCTGCCTGTTCGTTTGCGGAGTCTAAAACATAATTCATGTATGCTGTGCTGCTTGAAGTGTCTCGTGGGCTCGATTGGAAAAAGGTGGTATTGAGTGTGTTGATTGGAGTGTTTTGTTGAAAGGCGTTGCTCCCATTATTTCCAGTTTGTTGAGAGAGTGAATGCGTTGATGGAAGGTTATAAGTCATCGCGTTAGTGATATAATTTGTCGTTTGCGGTCCGTTCAAAGTGTTGTCAAGTATTTCAGGTGCAGTTGGTAAAGTCACCACATCGTTTGGTATGACATTAGACGATTGCACAACAGTAGTTTGTAACTGTGTTGTTTCGGGGTGTTTGTCCTCTTCAGATTCAAAAACTTCTAACATATACACCTCACATTGTCTTTTCGCTGTTGTACGATCCGTCAACTTTTTGTAAACCTCTCCCTTCTGCCCACCATACATCGGGCATGCAGATAAGTGTCTTAAGTGACTATCCCACACATGGCTGTAACAATTGTATTTGGTTTTTGGACCAGAGTTACATCCAGGAAATGTGCACTCCCAGCCTTTCTTACGGAGTGGATTCGTGACTTCAGTCATCCTTTAGTTTAGTTTCTTCTTTAAAAGTTTTTTAGTTAATTTTTTAATCCAAAATTGACTCTTTTTTTTTCCTAAAACAGCTGTTTTATTCTTATAATTGATTTCTTTTGTTGAATTATTTATTTTGTTAAGCACTTTTGGGACAATTTCATCGAAAAATAATTAACACCTCACCTCACGTTGTTATTTGCCTATTATTTAGTTATTCAATCATACTTCAGTATTTTTCATTCTTATCTTTTTCTATTAAATTATAATATATTAATTGAATTATTTTGTTTTGTATTTTACATTTTAACTAAAAAATAAAAATAAAAATCTTAAAAACTAAAAAAAGTTTTATTCAATTTTGTTATTCTCTTATTTTTTTTTCAATATATTAAAACTATAATTAATTTTTTATTTATTTATTCTAATAAAATTATCATTAAATTGTCATTAAAATAAACAATATATCTTTTTCAAGAAACATTTGAAAATAAGTTAAAAAGTAACGAGTGATTAATTTTTTGTCTCTTTTACTACTTTACAGTTTCCCACTATTTAGTTTCATATTTTTTATATAAAGTTGTCACATCATGTGACACATGTTGAATTATATTAATATTGATAATCAAAGTAAATTTATAAAACTTATTTTAATAAGAATTAAACAATAAATAAATTAAAAATGAAGTAGAATAATAACAATTATTTTTTAAAAGAAATAAATAATAAATAAATAGAACTAAGAAGAAACAACACAGATTTATGTTTGGCTTTGTAAGAGCCCAACTTGTATCATCTTTTCTATGAACTCGACTTTCTTTGGGTCTTTCTTCATCTTTTTGAGTGATTCTGGGTCGGCTCTAATGTTTCTTAATATTTCCCTGACTTCGTCGTACATGAGCAATTTCTCTATTTCCGGTGTCACAACTGGTGTCTTCAGTTTGCTCTCCTCTTCCCTCTTTTCTTTCTCGTTTTTCGCTTTTTGGTATTTTTCCTCTGCTCCAGGGTACTCGTCTTTTCTTGCAATGTCGAAGTACTTTGCGGCATTTTCGATATTCCCATCCTCCATAAACGCGTTCGCAAGTCTCATTGCGATCCTTCCGTGTCTTTCCTTATCTTTTTCACAATCGATTTTGTCGATTACATTTTGGCATATTTGGATGACAAATTTCCAGTTTTTCATTTCGAAGAAGACGGCACTTTTGTTGAGCTGATAAGTGATGTTTCCTTTATCAAGAGTGATTGCTCTGTTGTAACATTCTATTGCCTCTTTAAACATCTTTTTCTTGTAGAATTCGTTTCCTTTATTCTTCTCTATAACAGCAAGTTTTTGTCTTTCTTCATTACTTTCAGGTTCCTTTGTTGTTCTCTTTTTGTGTTCCATAATAGAGTCGACAAAACTCTTTTGGTCCTCTGAAATATCGTTTTTCTCAACATGAATTCCTTTCTCTTCCATCTCTTTCTCCATTTCCTTTTTGATCATCTCGTCCTTCTTCCGTTCAACTTCAGCCTTTTTCTCTTCTTCACTCTTTTTCATAAACATGGATGGGTCGACTCCCATGAGTACCATCAAGCATTCCGCAAGCTTGGGATCTTTTATGCCAGACCTTAGTAATAAAGGGTTATCGACATAGTCACTTAAATACTCGACAAAACTCTCGTCCTTCATATATTCTTGAGTCTTCGGATGTGCTTCCAACTTCTCCTTCCATCCTTTGAACATACTAAATGGATCAAACTTCTTCTCGTCGAGTTCTTTGATTTGTTCGTACAACTTTATCAGTTCCATGTTATTCGGCTCGTATTTCAACAACTTCTCCAGCATTTCCCGATACTTCCTGATTTCCTTTGGTAGTATCCCGTTCTTCTTTGCAGTGTCAATCGCATTTTTGATATCTTGAAGTTGTTGTGGAAGTGGGACATTTTCATTCGTTTGACTAGCACTCCTCCCACTCATTTAACACTAACTTTTTAGTAATTTGATGATCTTTTTTATTATAATGGTAACCAAAAGAGACCACCAATTACTATAGAAAGTAATTGTTTCTTTATTAATAAAAAACAGTCACTTATTCAAAGCCCCAAATTCAGTCGTGCTCGTCCCCTCATTTTTCTTCCACTTCCATAATTCTGTCCTTCCCTCTTTTCTTCGTGTTTCCGTTCTTTCGAGTAATTCTTCGCCATGTCAAATTTCTTATCACCTCGATTACTCGAAAACGGCTTTTTCTCGTCGTCTTCCTTTTTAAGTGCTTTACTTTTGTATCGTATCCGCTTCTCCTTCTCATCAAAGAAGTCTGAAACTTCCTTTCTCTTTTCCATCGCCTGTTTCAATGTCGTTTCAGTTCCATTCATTTGCTCAAAGGAGACTAAACAATTGACAGACTCCATTGCCATCTCTCGATCGCCTCCTTTCATGTTATTAATCATTCTGTGAATGACTCCTCGACTCTTCTTCAAATATTCGTCTCTCCCTATCTTTTCCTTTGTTAGCATTAAATTGAAGATCTGCAAAAACTTCGTCCAATTCTGAATAGAAAAATTGTCGAGTTTAATGATCGTTTCAACAACGGTAACGGCTTGGTCGTAATTCTCAAACACAAACAACTCCGCGTCCATCAGCGTGTTGAGCAACGACCCGACATATTCATCCGGGTAAAACGTCCCGATTTGTTGAATAGCAAAATTGATGACAGTGGGCAAGACGCTTGGAATTGTAGTATCACCACTCCTATATGATCGAATCAAATACCCAATGTACCAATCAGTCAAATCAAAGAAATACTGTGGTGCTTGATACTTGATCGACATCGCTCCATGGTATATACTGTAAATGTAATCCTTCTGATTCGACTTTTCGGGTGTTGAACCATCTTCTGCTTTCTTCATCACGTCAAGAGCTTCTTGAAAAAAGGTCTCGTCATCCGTCTGGACTTCTGTTGCTGTCTCTGAGATGCTGTTTGGTTGGGTTTCTTGCTTCTCGTCAGTCATTGACTTTATTAGCTTTTTTTAACAAATATTTATTCACTTTATTAAAATTATTTGAATAGTTTTTAATGGTTCATTTAATTAATAATAATAATACATTAATTTCAAATAGTGAACAATTTCTATTTAAATGGTTTTAAAAAAAAACAATTAAATTACAAATTATAATATATAGAATTATAAATTATAATAAATAAAAATAGTAAGATTAATTATTTAAAACTATATCACCGAAACACAGTTACAACACAAATCATAACCGTAATAGAAGGTGGAATGTCTATCTAAATGTTAGTCTGGTTAATGTTCTATAACATAGCAGTACCCATTTAGATATTTATTTAATTCAATATCTTTGTAATACTTTTTTGTTTTGTTATTTTAAATTATGGGAATTAAATAATTGTTTTAAAAAAACTTTTTTTTGGAGATTTTGCACTTATATTGTTTCGATATTTTTAAAATATCGAAAAAATATAAGTTTATAAAAAAAAAATTATTTTACCATTTGATATTATTTTTAATTAATTGTATTATAATATGAAATATAGTTTTTCAAAAATGTGATAATTACTATTTTATATTAAAATTCAAGATAATAATTTATTATATTTTAAATTAATATAATCTATAAAAATAATTGTTTCACAAATAATAAATATTTAATTAAATAATAACAAAAATAACCAAACTATTTAACTAAATTAATATATTAGTTATAAATGACTAATTGTTATTAATAGTAAATATAATACCATTATAATATTAATTATCAAATTAAAATAATTAGATAATAATTCAACTCCTGCTATTTCAAACTTCATTCAAAAAGAGAGTCTATGAACTAATTAATTCAATGGAGGAGGAGTTGACAAGAGCGAGGCTCGAGGAGATTATCAAAAAGTGTTTTAAAGAAAGAACTCTTGCTCCTGTTCACGAATTTGTGACAGCTACCGAATTGACAATTTTGTGTAAAATGGCCATTCCCATATTTTCACACGAAACCTCACTCCTCTTTATCAACGCGCCACTCCATGTGATCGGTGACCTTCACGGACAATTTACTGATTTGCTCAAATTTCTCGACCAAACTGATATACAGACAGACAAATTTTTGTTTTTAGGGGATTACGTTGACAGAGGACCGAGGTCTGTGGATGTTGTTTTGTTGGTATTTGCGTTAAAAGTATTATACCCTGACAGGTTTTTTCTCTTAAGGGGAAATCATGAATCGGAAAATGTGAATCACCTATATGGATTTTATGACGAATGTTTGTTCTTATTATAGCGAGTTATTCTATTTTGGAACACTTGTTGTGTGGGAGAGTATAATATTAATAATTTATCACACTATTAATATTATAAATTCGTGGTATCACTAAAATCAGAACAATACTTGAAATTGTGTACAAGGGAAATGACAAATAGGTAAACGACGATTTGATGTGAGAGTGTGGCGGTGTTTTTGTGAAGCGTTTCGATATCTTCCCGTGTCTGCATTAATCGAAGGAAAGATTTTGTGTTTACATGGGGGGCTTTCAAAATCGATGACCGACTTATCGTGTTTGATGCAAATAGTAAGACCAACAAATATACCGGGAGAAGGACTTTTGTGCGACGTTGTGTGGTCTGATGTATCTGATGAACATATGGGATGGTGTGACAATGCAAGAGGTACGTCATACACATTTGGAAGAGATGTTGTCGAGGAGTTTATGAAGAAGAATGGCATTGAGTTGTTATGTCGAGCACACCAAATGGTAGATGAGGGCTTTTCGTTCTGTTTTGACAACAAAGTCCTCACCCTCTTTAGTGCACCAAATTATTGTAACAGTTTTAATAATTGTGGTGCTATGATGAATGTCGACGAGAACTTAAGATGTGATTTTGTTAGACTACGACCGGATGATGCGGATGTTGATTGATTGTTATAATTTATTTTTTGTTGTTATTATTTAACAAGTTAATTGTGATAACATCGCCACGTAAATAACAAGTTTTAATTTCAAAAACACATCAAATTTGTATCATTGAATAGTTAAATTATTATAAAAATGAATGAAGAGAGCAATAACAATGGTGTGTTTAACACCCCATTTTGTGGTCGAAACTCTTCGGTGCATTTTCTTGTTGAAGGCGGGTCAATACTTTTAATTAAATGTATTTCGTCGAAATATACTGTTCTGACGTCTTTCTGTTCGTTTGTGATAGTAAACCCTAAAAAATTGGTAATGTCAGCGCCAATCTCATCAAATGTGACTTCTATTTTAGTCCACTCACCTACAACTACACTCTTCTTTATTCCATTGTTTTGTGGATTTTTAGCTTTGAACAACAAACACGAATTGCACTCTTCTGTTACTTTGACATAGACATAGAACCCAGTATACATTCCACTCTTTGGTGGGGTATTCGTATAAAAATGCAGTCCAGCATAATCACCCATTTCCTGTTTTATACATTTAGTTCCTTTATAAGGACTCTCCACACTTCCAAAATCAGTGGTTGATCTGATACTCATCCCTATCCAGACACCTTTCTGGCTGTCCTCATACACGTCAGTCCAGTCATCTGGTAATTCGCAGCACTCCTCCATATTCACTGGCTTTTGTGCAATTTTCAACGTTTCCATTTCGAAGAACAAGTCGTCTGGGACTTTGAACTGAACGTCTGAAGTGATTGTGTCAAATGCAGTTGTAGATGTCATTTTGATGTTGACTGATTCACCAGAAATTGCAGTGACTTGCAGATAATATGGAATAATAAGTGGTTTGTCTGGGTCGTATATCCATCTATTATTACTGTTTCGAGCGAGCTTGATCCAAGTATAATTGTCTTGACTTATTTGAACTCCGTTGATCCCAATGATGTGTTTCAGTATTACAAATCCTATGTAATAGGCATTACTCCCATCTATGATATTAACTTGAATGTTACTATTGTGGTCACATGGCACCATTTTAATCGAAACGTTATTACTCCCCAAGTCATAGTCGGCTATATTTGCGTACCCATTGTCATTCAAATCAAAGTGAATCATATCGCCCCGACAGGGTGCGTCTTTAATTGGGCAGAAATTGGTCACTAACACTCGCATACTGCCAGACGGTCCTACTACATCATAGCAAATTCCACATTGTTGCGTGTTCATAAAGAACGCTTCATTTGGCGATGCACCAAACATATAGCCTGCAACAATAGTTGTATTCACTGGACCAAATTGACACGCCCCACCATTTTCCCAACCACTGAAATGTGATATACGCGCTTTTTGGCAATTGCTCAATGGTGTTAAATTCTTGGAAAATAGAACATTTACAAGCAATAAAATTATCAAACACATGTTATTGAGTTTCGTTTAGATTCATTTTTATAATAAAATAGTTATAACAACTAAATAAAAAATACTATAAAAATTTAATATTTTATTTTTTTTTTTCTAAAAATTAATTTACATTTGAATTAAATAATAAACTAAATATTTTAATTGTTTGTTATAATAAAATAAATAACAACTATTTTTTAATAAAATTTGCCATTTTCCAATTTTTTATAATAAATATGTTTCAAAATTAAGAAGAGAGAATCTTTTAAACCGGGAAATTCACAAGACTACTCAGAACATGAAAACCCGGAAGGGGGCGAAGAGATGGTTGACGTAGACAACTACTCTGAGTCATGCGAACCAGCCCATAAAAAGCTTGGTGAATCACAATTGAATTCTTTTAGTTTTAAAATTAAGAATAAAATAAAATGGAATGAATAAAAATTGTTTATAATGTGATGTCATGTAATCAAATGTCTTATTATGATAATACAATAAATCTAACAGGTAATTTACTTGTAAAAAACAATGAATTTCTGTTTTATATAACAAGAGTTTCGTTCATTTAAATATATTTGAAGTCTTGATTGTTAAAAATGGGTTATGTGGCTTAATAGGATATAAAATTTATATTGTTGAACTAAATATAATAAAGATAGTCAAAGATTGTGTTTGTACAAATACATAAATTAAAATGACATAACGCACCCCAGTAAGTACAAAATAAATGATTAAAACAAAATAACAAACATTTAGATTAGTTAAATTCATTTTTTATCGAATGGGTAGTCTAAGGGATTGTTGTGTTCGTTAAATTGGTTTTGGATAAAAATAATTGAGTCGTTTGAATAATGTAACAAAAAACCATTATCATTTCAACAATTTAAAAAATAAATGACTAACAATCAAAAAATAAAAGCTGGTCAGAAAACCCATTTCTCAAAAGTGTATCTGATATTGTTTTTTGTGTTTTTCTCAATTATTTATTAATTTTTTGATTCAAATGCGACCACCTCTTATTTTTAATCGTTGTGGTAACAAATTCGGATGCACCTTTGAGTAATTCATTTCGCAACATACTCAAAAAATATTTTGGCGAAATAATGTGAATTTTGAATTGAAATAGCTTAAAATTGAAATAGAAACATGATTTTTTCGATAATAAAAATAATAAAAATCAACACTATATCTGCATTAAATATACTTATACAATGGGAAACAACACGAAAAAATTGCAATAAAAAAATCAATTATTTCGATCTATTTTTATACTATTTGAAAAGAGTAATAATATGTCCCATTCATATCACACCAAAATGCGGGATATTTACCTAAATTTTGGCAGTTAAAAGAAACAAAATTTTTCAAGCAAAAATAACACATGAATTCAAAAAACATTTTGAGTTCTGTAAGTTCATGCTATTTATAATACCATAGAAATTGCCATTTTTTTTAATTCATTAACTCAATTTTGTGTTCATATTTGTGGGCAATTCAGGCGGTCATGCAACATTATTTGTTACACTCTTTTTTGGGACGCTTCATTTGCAAGTCTGCATATTACGTATCTTATGCGTAATTTTTTGTAAATATTTCAATATTTAATTCAAATGTTATCATTTTTGCCAAATTGTGGTTTTTAAACATTGTGCATATTTAAAAACTTGCTGCATTGCTTTTGCCGACTTCATTTTAAAGTAGTTGCTTCATCTCATCTTAAATAATCGAGTCAATATGCCATGGAATTCCGGCTGAGGAACGGGCTTTTGCAATACCATTATTGGCTCATCGAACGACTAGGTGGAGTATTTCGAGGAATTCGAAGCTTCCCAATAACATTCACCCAAACGCATTTCGTTTTTTACTGTGTTTACATTTGTTGTTTGTATAGATACTAATTTCCTGCCTTCCCGCAGTATTTAATCTATAATTTATGATAAAAAGTATTATAAATATTAATTTTTTTGAATACAAAGGCACTTAATAATTTAGGTTGAAAAAGATCAGGAATTGGCAACAAATGTCAGATTTATTGAAAAATGCCGCAACAAAGTATTTTTTGTTGGGATTAGCAATAACTACCCGATATAATGCATGATATCTCCGTTTTATACGTTCAAAATAAAAATTATTGGAAGGGGTAAAAACACAATCGAAGTATTTTTAAGCTCCACTAAAATAGGAACGAACTCAATTTTTATCGGAAAAACAAGATTGGAAAGCTGAAAAAACGTTCAAGCTCGATTTCTGGTTAAAAGTAACATTGCTGATTTTGCGGGTGAATTGGGAAATCTTTTTCATAAAAATAGAAACGCTCGCTCGAGAATTTTTAAATTGTAAAATCCACAGATAAGCCCTATCGATCTTCAAAATTCAAATTTGATGTCCGCGTTATGTTTGAGGCAGTCCACAGTCGCTTATTGCGCACCAGTTACGGGGAAGACTCTCTCAGAGTGTGTCCAGTCGAAACGTGATATGAAGAACTTTGAGTCGATCCAGCAGTGTCTTTTGTTAGGTTTACTCTCTCGGTTTGGGACTTTTGTTCTCGAAAGGCCGGTCAAGAAGTCCAAAGTCACATTCCAATTTGTGAAAGTCCAGAACTTCACCGTCAAAGGCGAAACAATTGAAATAGCCGAGTTGGTCGAGAGTGTCTGTAAACAGCGTTCAACGATAGAAACGTGTAGTGGTGTTCCTGCCGACCGGGTGAAAAGAAGATACGACAAAAACAGGTTCATATTCTTGTCGAATTTCTTACTTGATTTGGCGCTGGAATTTGGGTACTTTTTCGACTCGAAACTTGCGCGAAACACAGGCGGGTCGATTCAGTTGGAAAAGATCAGAAACGTATTTTTCGAGGGGAAGTGCATCTTCGGACAAGAAGAAATGATGAAGCGAGGAATCGCACTCAACAAATATTTCATTTCTTTGACGCAGAACCCCGACAAAGTCGGGAAAATTAATCTCGACGACCCAACTGTGGATAAAATTCTGAAAGACCCAATCAACTTTGTAGAAACAGATTGGGACGTTCAAATTCAAGAACGCAAAGCTGGCAAAAAGAAAAGAGGAATTTCAATTTAACATAGTCCACTAAACATAGTGATATCTTTTTAATTCACATAGTTTTTATACCTGGTTATATCAATTGTTATTTATGAGAGTCGCACTATTTGCTGGTATTGTTATCATTTATCAGGCTATTCCATTTTGCCGTTGAGTTTGATACGATTTCCTTTTTTTGTGCGATTTGTGAAGCATAAATCAGAACCCATGCCAGTATATTTACACATTTAAAAGCCCATCTCATAATTGGATAAATAAGGACAACTTTTTCATTTGTTTTGTAGTAAAATGTTGCATTATTTGCTTTTGGAAATCGTCTCTTTTGTGATTTGAATAATCTCATTTCAATATCAGCAATTATTGATGTGCAAAAAGGGAAATGGATAATTTTGGATATTTTGTAATGTGTTGTATTGCTTTTTAAAAAGATCTAAAATAGAAAAACAAACAGCAAACCCAGAATAGCATGATTTTTTGTGTACAAAAACTCCAACAATTGTTTCATCTCTTGTGTTTGGTATAGTTAATTATATTAAACATTATAATTTAAATTATTACCATTAATATTAATAATAAAATTAATTAACTTTTTTTGACGCAAGTTAAGTATCTTCTTTTGTTTTTGAGTTTTAATGAACGTTTTTATTGTACCATAAAACGTAATTAATTTTTATTAATAAATATGATACTTGGATATTCCACTTTTTCCATTTTTTGTAGATCAGAAAACTATAAGACTGTAATGGCTCAACTGGAAGTGCCATTTGTTGCTAACATCTTTTTCTATTTATCAAGTGTCACAGACGCAGCAAAACTTACTTTTGTGTGTCATAGATGTCGCGAATCTGCTTTGGCCCTGCGAAAGAACCCGTTATACCCAACTACTAATACAAGGCTTTTACTCCTTCGAGAGCTTCGTGTGTTCTCAAAGATCCAAACGGTCTGTTTCCATGACGAGTTGACACCAGAAGAGTCGGACAAGTTTAACTTGGTGTGTTGCACTGCGTCCGCCAAAGTGAATCTCAACAAGGTTCGAGAAGTGATGCCGTCGCTTTCATTTAGCACCAAAAACATTGTTCCAATCGACGCGAGTGTTATCAATTTCGTTTTTGCGCCTCACCATTTCGACACAAGCTTCGACACAACAAAAAAGTATTTTGAAGACGCCGCAAAGTGTTTTTGTATTAAGAAACTTGTTGTTTACATCAAGCCAACAAACGTTCTTGGCGGCGAAGGTATTCCCGACAATTCAAAGAAAATTGTGCTTGAAAAAATCACTGAATTTCTCATTCTCTTTCGCGACCAAAATGTATCTAAAGTCCACTGTGATGTCATTTTGAAGACTCCATTTCTATCTGAGGAGAAATTTTCAATTCTTCACTCTTTCAATGTCTCGGTGATGTACACAGGAAAGGACTTAGACGAAGAAGTTTTAAAACTTTCTGAAAAGAAATTGTTGTATATTGAAAACAAAGAGCGGAGTGTATACTATAAGATAATAACTTCTCCACTTCTTCAACCATTTTGTGAGAAATATTATATCCAAAAGCTAGTGTTATTTAAATTACCAAGTAATCTGACTGAAGTGAACTTTTCCGAGTTGACCACACTCACACAACTGAAGATAGTTGAATCAACTCAAGAAATTGGAGCAACGTTCCCTGTCACACTCAACTCACTCTCATTTGGAAGTCCACTCACTGTTTTGAACGCGAAACAGTTGACACATTTGACCGCTTTGACTGCGCCAAAAATTGTTCATATACCTTCACTGAAAGAATTCACATTTGCTCCAAATGCAATTTCAAAGACTTTCCCATCTTTGGAACAATTCAGGTTACAAAGTTTGACTTTGAATTCATTCGATTTGAGTTATTTGGATCTCGAGCCGTACCTCTTTATTACTTCCGTCAACTTCAAAAGCGGAATCTACAGGGAAGTCGTCCTTCCATTACTCCTCGAAAGGCTCAAAGTGGATATATTTTGCTCAAACATCCCACACTTCTTAAACATCGAAAATCTTAAATTGAAGTCGGTCATAATCCTCCCACAACTCATGGACGAGTACTACCCAAGGTTTAAACTAAACAAAGAGCATTTAGTCGAACAAAATATCCCTGATGGTCTTCTACAGATTGAAGGGTGTGTTCTTGTGTAATTTACTTTGATTGTTCTAATAATTATATTATTATATATAGTTTAATTTATATAACAATTTTAATGGATAAATAATAAATAATTGTTATTAATTATAAATAATAACAGAATTATTAAATTCATTTTAATATGAAATACTCGAAAAAGTTGACAGATGTGTAATGGTTTTTATATAGTTGTTTAATTAGATAAACATTCGAATAATTAATGTATATTATGATTTATTGTTTATTATTAAGAAACCAATAAAAATCAATGGTTCAACAAAAGGTTCATTTCTTTTTTTTGGCAACCACAAGTATCAAATGAAGATAATTCAAAAAGAGAAAATTGACAGTAATTTTCGGGTATTTTTGCTGTTTGTTTTTACATGAAAACCAAAATAGAACCGAGCTATTTTTTTGCGAAAAAAAAGTACTTATTATAATTAAAAAATAGTAAATTTAATTACTAACTACAATTACAAATGGAACTCGAATCAGACTTGAAAAAACCCTACAAATGTAATGGAAGTTTCGTCATATATTTGTTGAGAATAGAGTGCTCCATCCCCAACAAAACGGGCATTTTGAATGCAATAATAAACCCCAAGATTCGTAAAAATATCAATAGAGATGAAGATCCATAAATAGTATCATTTACTATATTGACAACTATATTACAAACAGACGAATGAAAGAAGACGGCTGAAAATAGAACGAAACTCTGTATAAAAGTGTACTCCAAATTAACAATTCAGTTCACATGACCACTTTGATCAAACCTATTGCTAATCATTTCATTGACTTTGCAGACGACCTGAATACCAGTGACTCTGATTATTACTTCGAAGACTCAAATAAAATGGAAGAAGAAAAGACCGACTTCGAATGGGACATTCATCAAGTCATCATCCCCCCAAGACAAACCGACCCAGTCTCACTCGTTCTGAGTGCTCCCGTGTTTGACGACAGAAGTGAAATATTTGACGAGCCATATGACAAACAAGTCTCGTCTAGCGCATCAAACTTTGTAAATGAAAATGAATTCTTCGCCTTTGGAGAGGACTTCGAGTAAAATATGTTTTTATTATTCTTTAGACTTGTGCAATTTTTGATGTATTTGTAGTATTTTTATTATCGATTTTCATATCAATTTAGTCATTAGTTTTACATGTGTAATGAAATTCCATTTGTACCTTTTTATATGTTATAAATACAAGTAAAATATGAATTATATAATAATAATTATATTAATACAGAGTCTTTTAATGCCGTCTTGAGTGTATAACATCCGTGAAAAGAATTGATGATTATTAATAACCTTGCTCAGGTTTAAACACCGACATGCATAATAAAGTGAGTTGCTCGGATGGTTTACAAACAAACAAGCTTTTATCAAGTGGATATTTTAAATCGTTTTAAAACACATCCACACAAATAAAATATTTTCAACAACAAAAGGAACACAAAAACAACAACTAAACGCATCAACAAATGGATAAAAAGAACATATTATATTCACTCATCAATGTCTCCCACAAAGCAGTCCGGCAGCTTTAGTGACTCCAATGCGTTACTAATTTTGTCTCTGACCGAGTCAGTTGTCTCTGGATTGAATTCAATTTCCGTCACACCCATGACAAGTCCTTCGAGTTGTGTCAAATCTCTACTGAACGTCATTCTCAATTCCCACAAAAATCTGAAATATTCATTGGGATTTTTCGAGCTCGTTTCTTGCCTTCTATAATGTGAAATAATAGTTTTGTCTTCTGTAATAATAACAGCAACTTCCCAAAGCATCGGTTCTATTGGTTAAACGCTCGACTCTTCTTCTCTCAAATGAATCTCAAACGAATAGTAACAAACGTGCGTCTTTAATCACAACACCACCAGAGCACTGGCACTGACATTTAATTCTCATGGTGGACGGACCAATAATCTTTTGGTTAATTGCTTTTAAAAACATGATAGTCGAGCTTTCGCCATCAGAGTCTTCGACATACACTTTTTTCAGAATTTGCATTAAAAACGTTTTTTGAATCGACAGGTCTGCAGAGTTGTCCATCACGCCGTTCCACTCGCTAGTTAATTTATCAAGTTTTTCAGCCTCAAAAACAGATGTGACCGATTGCATGATTTTCAGGCAGTCTCCGGCAGTGACTGCTTTTCCTTCAGTGGAAGCCAACGAAGATGTAATATACGATTCAACCAATTCCTTCTTTGGAAAGATACAAAAGTATTTGTCGTCCTGCACTTCGAAGAGTGTCATGTGTTTCAAAAGTCTTGGTAAGTCACCTGCAATCGGAAACGTCTCAAAATTTCCGGAGTCGATCGTCTTCCGAGTTGCAACGCTATAGTCTGGCAGTGTTTTTAACAAATTTGCCATTGCTGCACTTGTTTTGTCGGGAGTAGTCAGAGCTGGTGCTCCGGTGTCATTGCGAACGCGTTGCTTCGCGACGCGCTTCTCTCCTTTCCCGCACGTTTGTTTAATCTTTTGTAGTAAATTGAAGTCTGTGGTCGACATGTGTGGTCGAGTTCTTTATTTTTGAGTTGCATGTCATTTTTAGAAAGTATCATCAGATTTTTATGATATCTCATTTATTTATTTTCTTTCTATTTTTTTTACTAGACGTATGAATTCCATAGTTTCTCTCTTTTCAAAAACCACTCATTTCTAAGAATTTATGTTAAACTACAAATTTATTTTTTAGTGTTTTTTTTTATCAAAATAACATTTATTTATTATAACTTTGCGTTTAGCAATAATCTTGGTAAGGAGTTTAAAACCATATTTTGAATGAATAACCAAGTAATTGCCCGTTTTATGCCATAACGGTCGCTTGATATAATCTCAAAACTATTAACACTTCACTATTTTATTAGAGCGGTTTTCCCAAAACCGCAGCTAATGAATGGTCAAGTTTTTGTTTCATGTTTCCAAATATTCAAATCTCAACCCATTATAGTTCTGTTGTAATTTCGTATAGAGTCATTTGCTAAACGTTATCTGTTCTGTAACGTTGTCTGCCGATTTTTAGACCATTATAAATGGAATATTTCGGGAATTTTTTGGAAAACCCCCAAAATCATTGTTTCAATATTTTTCCCAGTTTTTTTTCATTTTTACCTAATTCCCGTTTTTTTAAAACAAAAATCAATTATTTTTTGTCAAAAAGACAACGTTTGGGGAACAGACAACGTTTATCGACTGGCTCTAGTTTCTTTCTAAATTGGACTTTCTGTTTTTTTTGAAATCTTTTTATTGTCAATCACTTTCGATCTCACCAGATTTCCAATCTTAACTATAAATTTGTCATATTAAACTAAATAATATAGTTTATGATTTGAGGGGTGCTATTACCTCTTGTATTCACACCGAAGTTTTTTGCTTTGTTTTAGACTTAATTCTCACAAGTATGCTACAAAACTGTGTTACAATTATATAGTAAAACAACTATAAATTATGGTTAAAATATGTTGCAAACAAAAAAAAAAGTGTGAATGACTCACAAAGCTGGCCAACCATCACCCGGGAACATCATCTTCCAACATTCAAAGCAAAACCCGTTCTCCGACTCTTCTTCGCTGTTTTTCCTTAATTGGTATCTTGGGAATTTGTTCATACAATTGCCGCACAAGACGACTTCATTCAAGAACTTGTCGTTCTTGTCGACGCGCGAATTCTCCGCCTTCAACTCTTTTTGTAATTTCAATTCCTTTGCGTTCTCTTCCTTACGCAAATCGTCGACAGTCTTTTCTTTATTCCCAGTCTGCACTTCTTCTTCTTCGTCACCCGAGTAAAACTCGACTTCTTCCTCTTCTTCTTTATTGTCTTCTATAGGCTCACCATTTTCATCGACATATTCGTATTCATATTCTCCTTCTTCATCTCCTTCTGGTTGAGACTCTTGAGTGTCTGCAGCCTTTGCAGACTCTTTTTGAGTCGCCTCAACATCTTCCGCAACAACTTGTTTCCCATCGACTTCATATTCATACTCCCATTCACCATCCGCATACTCTTCTCCATCATCCTCTTCTTCATATTCATATTTAACGTCGTCGCCATATTTCAAAGCAAGTTGCTCTTCAATCAGCTTCTCATTGTCTTCGTCTTCCTTTTTCTTCTTCTTTTCTTCGGCTTTCATGTCGTCGATCATCTTCTGTGACGTCACTGCGTCTGCCGCAGAAACGTCTGGCAAGTTCTCGAGATCGGTATCGTTATCTTCAAAGTTCTTGACAAAGTTCAAGAGTTCTTTATGTTCGCTCCACGACTTCTTTTGAAGCTCAATTCCCTTAGCCTGTAATTTCATCGAGTTCTCAAGTAAATTTTTAATACCAGTCTCACGTTCTTCTTTAATTTTAGTTGTGAATTGTGACTCGTCGGCTTTGGTCCAATCGACTTGTTTCAGTGAAGTTGATTGAACTTCTTCTTGTTGTTGTGTCTCATTAGCAGCTTCTTGTGCGACGATGTCTGCCCATTGTTTCACTTTTTTCGAATAGAAAATGGCTCTTGGGTCATTTTCATGGAGTCGTGTTGGCATACTTTTACCACCGCAAACTCTCAAAAAGTGTTCAGACTCTTTCCCGTGTTTCTCGAGGAAAATGTCAATTGCGATTTTTCTTTCAGTGATTCGAGCGTCGGCGTAGTCATAACCAACTTTAATGGCATACTTTTGTTGCAGTGGAATTGTCTCTTCACCAAGCCAAATATATACTGTGTTCTCACAATCAAAGATGTAACACGATGAAGGATCGCCTTCAGACCATTCAAATCCCTTCTCGACTAAATCCTGAGAGAATGGAGTCACTTCAAATACAATCGGTGCTTTGCATTGTAATCGTTTTGGATCTATCGAGAGATATCCATTTTCTATTCCGTGGAGCGCATCCCAAAATTCGTTATATTGAAACCCTTCTTCAAAACAAACAAACTCTCTTTCTTCACCTTCGAGGAGTAAGACGCTTGTTCGCATCGCTTGAATTCGAGAAATTTGATCAGTTAATGCACCCAACCACAGATAAACACAATACGGCGTTTGTAAGACATAACACTGTGAACTCACAATAGTCTTTCCAATGGCTTCATTTTCAAGATCCAATTCCACCATTCGCTGTGTACGTTCTTTCATGTAAATTTCAAAGAAGCGAATACTCTTCTCTTCATATTCTTCGTCTTTTTTCTCTTCTTTGTTGTCGGATTGGGCTTTGGATTCTTCTTTGAAAACTTCTTCTTTTTGCTCAGTTTCTGTTTCAATTTTTTCTTCGGGAAGTTCTTCTTCTTTAACTCCAACCTTTTTAGTTATCTCTTCTTCACCTTCTTCATCTTCAATACCGGCATCTGGATTACCTAAGACTGAAACATACTCTTC